CGCGCACTTGCGTCGTTTTTTCTACGAAACGGTCTTCTACAAAAGAAAAACTTTTCACCGCTTCGGGCTAAGTATCTCCTTGTGGTGCCTTCAGCTCTGCGACCAGAACTCCTGCAGGCCCTGCACGACGATCCGACGGCAGGGCACCTCGGTGTTTCTCGCACGCTCGCGAGGATACAAGAAAGGTACTACTGGCCGCGTCTTACCACCGACGTCACTCGTTATGTGAGGACATGCCGGGACTGTCAGCGACGCAAGACACCGCCGACAAGGCCAGCGGGACTTCTGCAGCCAATTGATCCACCTTGCCGACCTTTCCAGCAGATTGGTATGGACCTACTGGGGCCGTTCCCGACGTCGGCTTTCGGAAACAAGTTGATCGTGGTAGCTACCGACTACCTCACCCGCTACGCCGAGACAAAAGCCCTGCCAAAAGGCAGTGCATCCGAGGTAGCTAAGTTCTTCGTCGAAAATATCGTCCTACGTCACGGCGCCCCGGAGGTCCTTATCACCGACAGAGGAACGGCATTCACTGCCGACTTAACTCAAGCGATCTTGGCATACAGCCAAACAAACCACCGCCGGACGACAGCGTACCACCCACAGACCAACGGCCTCACCGAGCGGCTTAACAAGACGATCGCCGACATGCTGTCAATGTACGTCGATGTCGAACACAAGACGTGGGATGCCATTCTTCCGTATGTGACCTCCGCATACAACACGGCGGTGCAGGAGACTACGCAGATATCTCCATACAAATTGGTCTACGGAAGGAGCCCGGCAACGACGCTCGATGCCATGTTACCCAACGTCACCGACGAAGAAAACCTCGATGTGAGCGAGTACCTTCATCGCGCCGAAGAAGCCCGACAACTTGCGCGGCTCCGTATCAAGAATCAACAGACGACCGACAGCCACCGTTACAACCTTCGACGACGCTTCGTGGAATACCAGCCCGGTGAACGTGTTTGGGTGTGGACGCCGATACGCCGACGTGGACTAAGTGAAAAGCTTCTGCGACGGTACTTCGGACCGTACAGTGTGGTTCGACGTCTCGGCCCACTTGATTACGAGGTTGTCCCCGACGGCATCACGAACTCTCAACGACGCCGATCGCGACCTGAAGTCGTCCATGTCGCACGCCTCAAGCCGTTTCATGCGCGTTAACAAACTGAAACAGTGTTTTTTTTGTATTATTGTTGTATCGTAATTTATTCATTGGACTTTCTTGCATTATTATTGTACCTTCATCTTTAGTTAAAGCATCGAGACGATGCCTTTTTCAGAGGGGGGCAATGCCACGTTCCATTTCCCAAGTTTTTGTTATCGTCCCAAAACACCACACGATTCTCAGCGCAAACCGCGCCTGCAGTTTTCGAGAGGGTTCCGGACTGTAGTAGATCATTTCGATAAGATCACGCCCACTGTGCGAATGGTACAGGTTGTTCTGGAACGTACGCCGCCGCCAGCAATAGCGCTAGAACATTCGACGGCGGGAGTATAAATGCCGACGCGCTTCGCCGCTTGTCAGTTGTTGATCGAAGGCCGACGCTCCGTTCGCCGCTATCAGTCTGAGACTGTTATCTGTGCGAGACTGCTGCTGTAATTTGACTTTCTGTTTACCGGGCACAGGTTCGCCCAAATAAACAGTTAAATCCCAACAAGAAGTCTCCTGTCTTCGGCCACGTCACGACCCCGTGACAATATATATATATATATATATATATATATATATATATATATATATATATATATATATATATTATTTTATAAGGCACGATTGCTGCTGATTTCTCTTTCAGTGTTGTTCAGAATCTATTAGCTGGAGAAGTTTTGTGAATCAGCAGGCCAAAGTATTTGGACATTCAGGGAGTGCTTAGACATTTTCCAATACTGTAAACATTATGTCCATGACAGGAGTCATCACGGTGCACACATGACAGGCTAACTATGAACATGCTACATGCCGTGTTAGCGTTGTCAAAAACTTGTGAATGTGCAAGTATTTAAAATTGGAGAATAGGCCTTTTCTTTAGCAATGCCATTAGGGATTAATAATTGACTTCTTTTTAAAGTATATTCTTCTTCTTTTTAATGATAGCAGTTGCATGCCTCCTCTTGTTCAATATTCATCTTTTCTTTCTTGTTTACGTACACTTCAATTCATTTTATTGTGCGAGCAATTAGGTTGCATAAATGGAACCTTTCTGGTAATGCCTGTGCTGTACAGTCTTTGGTGCACCTTTTTCTTCGGAGCTTATTTTTAATAGTGCTCTAAGAATTACTCGTTCCTTCAAATCATCCATAAAGTTCAAGAATGTGAGTACAGTTGAGAATGGCCTTTTTGTTTTTCACGTTTAACTTAAGGGCAGTCTCTTATGAGCTGTTCAATAGTAAACACATGGGAGAGTCGATTTTCACAATTCTATGCACCGATTTAAAAGGCCACCCCCCCAAAAAAAAACATTTTCTTAAGCTTTTACATTATAGATGGCATGAAACAGTTTATTTCATAAAACATTTTCTTTCATGTTGGGACTCTGAATTATCCTTTTAGTAGAGGCTGAGAAAATATTCAGCAGATCTATCTCTTAACGTCTGTAAAACGTTAGTATGCTTCTATTGAATTAGAAGCCATTGCATTGCCCTCACCCTTCATCACCTCAAAAGTCTCTTGAAACCTATCTATGTGTTGCTGCTCAAATACAAAACCTAACTACCCTGTGGAAAACTGCTTTTGCATCTGAATACTTATACAAGACATGCCTTAGCTGCTATGTGTGATATTTATTGCGTCAAGGAGTGTTACTGTTGCAATTTGTACTATCTCGATTTTGCAGTGTCCTAAACGAGTGCCGTGCCTCGCTGCGGTGGTCTAGTGGCTAAGGTACTTGGCTGCTGACCCGCAGGTCGCGGGTTTGAATCCCGGCTGCGTTTCCGGTGGGGGTGGAAATGTTGTAGGCCCGTGTGCTCAGATTTCGGCGCACGGTAAAGAACCCCAGGTTGTCTAAATTTCCGGAGCCCTACACTATGGCGCCTTTCATAATCATATGTCGGTTTGGGACGTTAAACCCCACATATCAATAATCATATTGTGTAAATCTTGCTACACACAATTTCCTATAGAAAGGAAGAAGGAAACAGTTGTAGCCGAACAAATGACATGCGCGTTATCATATAGTCACATCTCCGTCTCGTAATGCTCTTCAGCTACAAAAAGTGGCGAGTATACTACCTCCTGAAAGCTTAAAGCGACACTAAAGAACAAGACGATTGTTCGCGTATTAGCAAAGTATGATTTAGGAAACCCGGAAACACCCTTCTTATGGTGACACGACGCTAGGAGACGAGAAAACGCGCGGAAAGGAAATGCGCAAGGAGACGCCCCCCTGCGATTTCCGCCCCAAAGACCGTGTGCGGAATGCTGCCGCGATCAACAATTCTACACGTGACAACGCTACAAGCCACCGGCGCGCCACAAATTCAAAGAACCTATCGTCCCTCTTCCCCGGGTCTTTCTGGTCTACGGGTCGCGTCGTCAAGTTGAATCTCTATAACGCGCAGCACAAATATGCTGTGATTGGTAGAGCTAGAGCCCACGACTTCCGGTTAGTCCGCAAGCAGCTGTCCCTGTTGCTTGTTGTTCGTCGTGTTTGCGCTTGCTTGTGAATCAGCTACTGCGGCCAGTAACGCGAGGTCCACACCAGCAGGATTAGTGTAAACACTGGCCAGCACGGCAGCAGCCGTTGACGGAGTCACGGCAACCGGAAGTAGAGGGTGTTTCGAGCAGCGCTTCGGCGATGATGTATTCACACGACATTTGAAAGGGAGTGGGGGGATGCTTGGCGAGAGGGCGGAGTGGCTTTGGGAGAAGATACCAATGAAGGGAGCAAACACCGCGTTTCGATCATCATCATCATCATCATCATCATCATCATCATCATCAGCCTGACTACGTCCACTGCTGGACAAAGGCCTCTCCCATGTTCCGCCAGTCAATTCGGTCATGTGCTTGCTGCTGCCAATTTATATCCGCAAACTTCTTAATCTCACGTGCCTACCTATTCTTCCGTCTTCCCCTAACCCACTTGCCTTCTCTGGGAATCCAGTTTCTTACCATTAATGACCATCAGTTGCCTCGCCGCGGTGGTCTAGTGGCTATGGTACTCGGCTGCTGACCACCAGGTCGCGGGGGCGAATCCTGGCTGCGGCGGCTGCATTTCCGATGGAGGCGGTAATGTTGTAGGCCCGTGTGCTCAGATTTGGGTGCACGGTAAAGAACCCCAGGTGGTCGGAATTTCCAGAGGCCTCCACTACGGCGTCTCTCATAATCAGATGGTGGTTTTGGGACGTTAAACCCCACATATCAATCACTCAATATCAATCATCGGTTATCCCGTCTACGCGCTACGTGCCCGCTCCATTTCCATTTTCTCTTCTTGAGTTCAACTATGATATCCTTAGCCCTGGTTTGTTCCCTGATACACTTTGCTCTCTTGTTGTCTCTTAAGGTTACACCTACCATTTTCCTTTCCATTGCTCGCCGCATCGTTGTCAATTTAAACTGAACCCTCTTTGTAAGTCTCCAGGTCTCTGCTCCGTAGCTGATTACCAGCAAGATGCAGCTTTTGTATACCTTTCTCTTGAGGGATAGTGGATAATCAAACGTGTCTATATCTTCGGAAAAATTTTCATGGCTGCGTGGTTGTTGTACACTCGTGCACAACTTCTCCATCACAACCGAATCGTGACCTCTAGGGGGTTTAGGGGCCTTTAATGCTTGCCGTATTGCTTTTACTTAGTGGCACTATAAAGAAAACGAAAAAGGAATATATCAGAAATTTATTTGGTTATATTGGGTGCCTTCATGCTAAAAGGCTGCGTGAGTGGCAAATTTTTATTATTTACTTGACCTTTTTTGCCTATGGAATTCAGGTCTTGAAGAACTGTATTTCTTTACCTATGCCTACACGAAAACAAAGTGCGTCTGTACTTACATCCTACGGAAAGACCATACAGGCGCCACTCCTTCGAACGACAAAGAAGCTCATCCTTCGAGAACAGTTTCTCAATGGCCTCGAAGTCGTTAACGATGACCATCTCCGTCAGTCCCGTTCTGACTCTGAAACATGAAGGTGGCGGTTATCGTTACATTCGTATTTGTTCGAACATCGTTCATCTCGGCATGTCAGCCCCGACAATGTGTGGAGACGAAGAAACGGGCGCAAGAGGAGAGATTGAGACAAAACACCATAGGTACCCGTGTTGTTGCTTTTTTATCGAAATAAAAAAATTAATGAAGCAGTTGTTGCCATTTTTTTGGCGATATTTACCCTCTTCGACTTTGTTGCTAGAATAAAAACAAATAAAAAATCAGCAGATACCTTTGCCATTATTTTGGCGATATTCACCCTCTTCGACTTCGTTGCTAGAATAAAAACAAATAAAAAATCCGCAGATACCTCATACCTGGAAATAGACGCTATGCGAAACATGCGGAGGGAAGCTGACTATCTCCCAATTTTTTTATTGAGCGACAAGTCATGATATATACAAATGTCGCACGCATGGGCATATGTTGAAGATTCGCAGTTTGTTTATATAGCCAGTTGTTTGCACTTGCGTAACTATACCAACTGGAACATGTGTATTAGCAACACCTGAAGCTGATATCAAGCGCTGCTCACGAGGATGCTGGCCCTAGACACTGCTACATAAATCAGCTTCAGCGCATGGCAACTAACCACAATTGACGTTGACTCGACGAGACGGCTGTATCAAAGAAGTGATTATGTAATGTTCATAAAAATTGATAGGCAGCACTGCAACAACTATTGAAGTTTCACGAAAATTAGGGTCTATTTGAAAAGGAGTTCTAAAACGGCCGTAGCTCTGTGATAAAATGCTTCATTGCCACGCAGAATGCTTGGGTTCGATTCCAGCTGGGACCCTGACATTTATTTTTTGCATTCGTTGGATCAACGCTACCGATGTCGGGTATTTCTTAACGCTCGCGCTTTGAAATTTCCCATGTGTGTTCTCGTCCTTTCCTAGGCAGATACGCCCCGCCGCGGTGGTCTAGTGGCTAAGGTACTCGACTGCTAACCCGCAGGGCGCGGGTTCAATTCCCGGCTGCGGCGGCTGCATTTCCGATGGAGGCGGAAATGTTGTAGGCCCGTGTGCTCAGATTTGGGTGCACGTTAAAGAACCCCAGGTGGTCGAAATTTCCGGAGCCCTCCACTACGGCGTCTCTCATAATCATATAGTGGTTTTGGGACGTTAAACCCCACATATCAATCAATCAAATCCTAGGCAGATACTAAGTGTCAAGCACCTGTGGCACATACCTGCATACCATCAACACATACCTGCCCGTTGGTATGTGCCAGTGTCTGGCGAGAAGTGTTTGACGACGTACGCGACGTGATTGTGACATTATTCGTCTTGACCAGCGCATTATATTTGTCAAACCATCTTACTATTTTGGTTCATGTGAAATTAAGGGGGTGACCACGAGAGCACCCAAACGTAAGCGGCCAGATAGATAGATATGCTCAAATCCACCGAAGTTCACTAAGGAATGCTTCGTATTTAAAGAACATTTTTCAATTATTGCGTCGTGCGGGCGCAAGGCTGGCTCGCCGAAGGTCTGGAAGCTCCTGGATTGACGCGTCGCTACTGGACTGGCTCTTGACTTGCGTGAGATCACGGCTCATTCGCTGTTCCATCGGTTAATTAATCCACGGTCCGTCCATATCTGTGCGCCCATTTGTGGTTATTTAATCCATTCGTTCATCCGTGGTTCGTTCCCCCCTTCATCCGTCCGTCCACCTATAGCTCACGCTACATATATCTCGGCACAGCCGAGCAAAGCCAATGCTAATCTTTCTTTTCATTGATTTCCCGTTTCATTACTTTTCAGCATAAACTTTAAATAGACAAAACTCTTACTTACAAATTTTATATTGGCATGCGGACATTGCTGTAAGCGGATTATCTAACCTTAGACATTACACAAACGTTGATGGTGCAGAAGCTTCTCATTGTTATTACCAATATATTGGTAAAAGCGTTACATTTAAAAACCGTTATATCGTCAAAATCAATTCGACTGTAACACTGCTTTTCACAGCGTTATGTTGACGATGACGTTTTTTTTGTACTTTAGTCCTCGTATAAAAAGTCAGAACATTCCAATAAGGACGGTTAGAAGATTTCTAAATTTGAACGGTCTTGAGAATTACTGATTAACGCTTTATTTGAGAGCACTTCTCTCTGATGATGATCAGAAACAAGAGTTTTTATAGCACTGCCGCATGCCACAAACCTAACACTCGAAAGCTGCCCTTTGACATTGTTATTAATATTATTTTCTAAAGTAAATTCGTCGTAAAGCCGATGTTCTTTTTTCGATGATTGGATAGAATAGTACACCGGAATCGTACATCCCATCCATAATATATGACTGTGATATGCATTAATGGATGTTATTTATTAGAAAACTTGTGCGTAATAACTGGCACCTGAAGGGACCTAACTGCATGATCAATGTGTTTCTGTTACAGAATACATCAGCTTTGGCTTAACCATCCAATCCTCACCCCATACCTTCCCCAAGCGTGTCGTTTGGCATATTTAATTCTTTGGTTTTAAGTACGAAAAGAACCACCGGAATGTGCAACAGGCAGTAATGACGCCTGCCAAGTCAATTTTATCACGTGGGAGGCTCGAGCGTGCCCTCGCTAGCGTTTTCGCATTCACCTTTCACAGGAGCGCCAACGCCCCTATATGCGCTGAGCAGCGTATAAAAACCCAAACAAAACAAAAAAACACACAAAATAGCACCTATACTGGTGTGCAAAAGGCGTTCGGTTCCTTTAGGAATAATACAGTCGCATTTTGGGAGTAAGTTCAAATTTCAGCTGTGAAGAAAAAGTTTTCTTCCTCGCTATGTTTGGGTGCGATTTGAAATATTGATCGCTACAGCCGAGTCGAAGGTACTTGCAATGAAAAAAAAATTAAATATTCAGTTCGCCTCGTTATTTTATTGCATGCTTATGTGCAAACAATGTAGTCATAATGAAGTTTTAACTACATCGCGTTTCGTCGTGGTAGTGTAGGTTTTTTAATTCCTGTCATCTTTCGTGAAATCAGGTATAGTACATTTCTACTTCATAAGATTGCTCTGCTAGAGCCGCGAAAACATATATGCAGAACAACAAATACAGATATATGGCATGTTCAAACATACAGAACAACTTACGGCATGCAAACCCTGGAAAACCAGTTTCCGCGACTGCTCAATAGCTTCGCAGCTAAAAACGCACCCTTGAAACATTGACAAATAAAGAGTTGTTATCATTTTTTCTTTCATAATTCCTGTTATCTGTTTGCTCGCGATTTCTGTGCCTTAAGAGTGTATTTACTTGTATTGTGTCTTTCATTTTTCTTTTTCTGTTATGTTATGCACAATTGGTTGTGTTTTTTTTCTTGAATCCTTGCTGTTCGCCAAGTTAGGGGTCAGCAGCTCAGTCAGGCTGTTTTTTTTTTTTTGGTTGGAGTTTTCATTGGAACGATCCTCGGATTTTGCAGCTTTTACTGCGGGCCCCTGTCACCATGTACACAATGATGATGAAATAAACGTATTATTATTATTATTATTATAACATTTGTATAGCCGTAGATGCAATGGTTACCGTAGTGCAGTGAAATTCCTAAAGGGGAAAAGCCTCAGAGTGGTTAAGTGGCATAAAAACGTAATAAGATGAGCGCGAAGGAGACATGGTACGTTAGAGAAGTGTTGTGCTTATAAGAGAAACGTTACAGCACCAGCCATTGCTGTCTATAGCGCACAACACCTCACCGCCTCTCCAAGGAAACAGCCATGTTAAAAAACAGAAAGAAAACAGTTTTCAATGTCTGCATTTTCCGTTATGTAAACTCCACTTTCAATGGCTTTTCATATGGCTGTTTTGATCACAAAAGCGGCGCTGTGTTGTGCGTTGTAGGAAGGAATGATTGTTGCAATAAAGATTCAGTTTTAAGTAGAGCGCTCGTCCAGCTTACCGTGTCGCCTTCGTCCTAATCTTTATGTGCTGTGTTTTATCCACTAAGCATTTAGCAACTCACCAAAGCCAAATCCTTCTTTAGAGTGTGTACCGTAATGCCCAAACCCTACGGACGCTTTGCAGCGTCAGCGCGTGGGCTTCCTTTTTTCTATCTACTCTCTCTCCCTCCATAGGAATGTGACATGTACGCTGTGTCTGCACATCATGCGCTGACGCGTTCTAACGCGTGCGTGTGGTTAGGGCTTAATCGTAGCCTTACCGTTTCGTGGAGTAGAAATATATATGTTCACCTGTAAGTATGACCATACATTCGAGCCCATTCGATTGCCTTCGTCGCACAGAAATGCGGCCGGTAGTAGTCGATGTGACCGATCAGTGGTATCGCCGGTGGAGAAGGCGGTAGTCTGGAGCCTGGGGGGATGCGCCTCTTGCCAAGGTGGGAATACCAGAGGACGTACAATACGACAAGAAACAACACCACAGTTATCAGGTCAGAGCACTCCATTTCTGAAAAGAAAAGGAAACGATTGGAGATGAAATTTCTCGCTGAAGTTTTACAGGAATGCCTAATGGGAACCAGTGCCAGATCAGGAACAAACTTCATCTTGGTAATGAGTGGCAGAACTGGCGTCGACATGCTGAAGTTTTCGACGTGATCGACAGATACTGCATGTGGTCGGGGCAATGAACAAGCTCAGAAGTAAACGAAAGAAATACTACAGGCTTCTATACTATCGCTGTCGTTGTGCACATGGTTTTCAAAGCACTTTATTACATTTTCACCTTATTAGGTCAGATCATTTAATAAGTCTTTATAAAAGTGACTTGAGATTCATTTGCGTATGAAAAAAGAAAACGCCTCAAGAGGTGAATCGGGGGTTATCGCACACGCGGGCAGGATTGTTTTAAAACTGAGCTCGTGCATACGGGAGTTATTATCAGCCACTGGGGATTCAGACTAGAGCCGTAAGCATATATGAAGTGAAAAAAGTCTTTAAATTGAATAGCAAAAACACAAAACATGCTCGTGTGTCTCTCGTATGATTTAGCGCTCACACAGGTTACGGATGCTCGACAACGGCCTGTTTATCCTGAAGGCGTATGGCAGCAACGCACGTGGCGGATGGCTTTCCGACCCTGGAGACTTGCTTCCGGGTGCGGGGTAGTGTGGGTTTCATAGAAACTAGACAGTATAGATTTATCATACATAGGCCCTAGCAAGCCCAATCACAAGTTATATTTCATTTCATCAAGCCTATACCTGATTCTCGTAGAACCGGCAGGTACACTTCTGGGCTGAGAAGGCCACCAATGTCAGATGAGAGGAGCTATTGGTGTCTGGTATTCACTCACTTATCGCTTAGTATCTCCAGAACGCTACCAGAAGGGGGAGTAGAGAAGGAGAGAGGGGCGAAAGAAAGTGTAGCAGGTACAATGACAATTAAGCTCTTCAAAGAAAGGTGGGATAGCTGGGGAAGGAAAGACATCACCGAAGAAGTTAGGTAAAACTTATTTGCCCGGTCACGATATACTGATGCCGTCGCAGTGCGCTATAGGATTTGAGACCACGTACTCGAGAGGATCACGCTGTAGTTACTACTGATGCCTCTTCTTATCATGAAGTGGGGTGTGTTGAAAGCAGCTTTTTTATCAAGTCGTCATATCGAATATCGCATTTTTCCCACACTCGCAACACATATTGAACGGCATATTTACAGAAGCGGAACGCTGGCCACCACATCGGCATTACACTGTTTACTCAGACAAACATTTCATCGTGTGAAATCGCTCCATTTGAACTCTATTCAGTCTTTCCCGAATACCTGCAGTTTTAGACACTCCGGAAAAACTAATGGTTTGGCGTCTGAGTCAGACTTGGATTTATAGAGCCCAGACCTATAGAGTTCATGAGCTGCGATTTTATTGCAATAGCACGTACTATATAGGCCCTCTCAGCACGTTTTTGAAATCAACGTCGTGTTCTCTACGAAGTGCAGTCGATATTATCACCTTTTGCATTGTTTGTTGTACGCGCGAGTAAAAGTGCGGGAACGTTGGTCCCGAATACGCCTAAATCAGAGTGAAATATATACTTATTTGTTGGTGTTTTAAGTTGCAAAACCAAATTATGACTGTAAGAGAAACCATACAGTAGCGCTCCGCAAATATGTACCACCTGGAATTCTTTAACGTTCACCTAAGTGTAAGTAGACGAGCATCGATCATTTTCGCTTTCATTAAATGTTCATAAACGTATGTGGGCAGGACTGCAACCACAATTGACGTTTCACGAACATTCAAATCTATTTGAAAAGTAGTTCGAAACCTGGCGTGGCTATGTCATTGAATACTGGATTGCCACGCAGAATGGTGGGGTTTGATTCCCCTGGGAGCACAACAGGTATTCTTCGCAATCGTAGGGTCGATCCTGCTGGTGTCTGTTTTTATTACCCTCTCGCATTTAAATTACCGATGTATGTTCTCACCGTTCCTCAGTCTAAATAAACTGTGACACACCTGTGGCGCACACCCGCACACCATAGTCTGACGTATATCGGTATGTGCCACATTCGTGTAAAGGAAGGGATTTCAAGCCCTACATGACGAGAGTTTCACATTATTCATGTCACGATCAGACAGTGATAATTATATAGCCCTCTTATTCTACCATATTAATTTTTAATGCGAAGCATTTCTTAGTGAATTTCGGCGACTTTGAGCGTATCTATCTATCTATCTATCTATCTATCTATCTATCTATCTATCTATCTATCTATCTATCTATCTATCTATCTATCTATCTATCTATCTATCTATCTATCTATCTATCTATCTATCTATCTATCTATCTATCTATCTATCTATCTATCTATCTATCTATCTATCTATCTATCTATCTATCTATCTATCTATCTATCTATCTATCTATCTATCTATCTATCTATCTATCTATCTATCTATCTATCTATCTATCTATCTATCTATCTATCTATCTATCTATCTATCTATCTATCTATCATCTATCCTATCCATCTATCCATCCATCCATCCATCCATCCATCCATCCATCCATCATCTATCTATCTATCTATCTATCTATCTATCTATCTATCTATCTATCTATCTATCTATCTATCTATCTATCTATCTATCTATCTATCTATCTATCTATCTATCTATCTATCTATCTATCTATCTATCTATCTATCTATCTATCTATCTATCCGCCTACGACTTCTGGCTCTCCTGGTCATTTATATCATACTATCGATACCAAACTTGGTGTAACATAACATGACTGTATGAATAACATATTTGACTAGTCATAGCACGAAAATTATGGCATTTATGTCATGAATGTCATAATTTACATTTCAAGGTCCTGCAGCTCTTGCGGTGGTTTCGTTCACATGACATGTTGGAAAGCTAACATGGTGTGGCATGATTGCATGGCGAACACAAGTGACAGACCCTAAGATGAAAATCATGACATGCGTGTCATGGAAGTCATAATTTACATTTCAAGGTCCTGCAGCTCTTGCGGTGGTTTCGTTCACATGACATGTTGGAAAGCTAACATGGTGTGGCATGATTGCATGGCCAACACAAGCGACAGACCCTAAGATGAAAATCATGACATGCGTGTCATGAATGCCATAATTTACATTTCAAGGTCCTGCAGCTCTTGCGGTGGTTTCGTTCAGATGATATGTTGGAAAGCTAACATGGTGTGGCATGATCGCGTGGCGAACACAAGCGACAGACCCTAAGATGAAAATCATGACATGCATGTCATGTAACAACATGACTAACATGCCACGCTCACGATGCGCTCGAGGCTGTTTCGCTAGCGTCACACTTATCAAATTTGGTATAACGGTACGTCAATAGATGACGAAGGTATGTGCAAGGTGAAAGCATGCTAATCATGAGATGCGTGTCATGTAACAACATGACTACATGACACGCTTATGATGCGCTGGCAGCTGTTTCACTCGCTTCACTTATACCAAATTTGGTATTACGGGACGTGAATGAATGACCAAGGTATGATACTGGTGCAAACATGATAATATTAGATGCGTACCATGTAACAACATGACTACATGCCACACTCAAGATGCGCTCGCGGCCATTTGGATACCTTCAGATGTGCCAAATTTGGTACTACGTGACGCCAATGGATAACGAAAGTATGTGACTGGTGCATACGTGATAATCATGAGATGCATGTCATGTGAGGACATGACTACATGCCACAGTCAAGGTGCCAATACATCTAGACGTCACGTGGTGCGCGTGCTCACCGGCGTTCATTTCGTCGCGTCAAGCCGGCGTTGCCACGCCATGCACCGGTGTCGCCATATACTCACAGGCGCGCACTGCTGCGTTGCTTTGACGCATGCGCGTTTCAGCGCGTCCAGCGTCCCTCCGTCACGAAAAGAGGGAGACGCAGTGTTGTCTGAGTAACGCATCGGCGCAAAATGCAGCACGTCGCATGTCGCACCGTTTGCCTTCGGGCCACGCCGATGGACGCTGGTCGCGCCTGGCGTCAGACTATTCGCGACTTCAGCAATTCATGCGGCACCTAGCGGCAATATATGGAAGCTGCGTACTGAGTTCCAAAAAGTTCAAGCACCAGTGTTATATGGTAGGGGCACGGTAGGATGGTGCCGCCCGTGAAGAAAAAACGAACGGCCAAGCAAATTTCTTCTTTGCAGGTGAGTTACCAGTGTTAACTTGTTAACTCGAACCTACTAAGTGACCATTGTATCCAGGGGTGCACCATAGAATGGTACTGTCTCGAATTCACCTAGACTTCAAGAAGGAACGACAGAAAGTGATACGCAAGAAGCCAATTATTGAGCTAGCACTGAGAGGGAAAGTACAGGAATTCAGAGTGTCGCTTCAGAACAGGTACTCGGCTCTTAGTGAGCAAACCAACCTTAGCGTAGATACAATGAATGATAATCGGACGAGTATCATTACGGAGTGTGCAGTAGAAGTTGGAGGCAGGGTGGTTAGACAGGACTCTGGCAAGCTTTCCCAAGAAACAAAGAATCTAATTAAGAAGCGTCAAATTATGAAAGTCTCAAGTACAACAGACAAAATAGAACTGGCAGAACTTTCGAAGTTGATTAATGGGCGTAAGGTATGCGATGTAAGAAGGTATAATATGGAGAGAATTGAACACGCTCTGAAAAACGAGGGAAGCGTCAAAGCAGTGAAGAGAAAACTTGGGATAGGCAAATATCAGATGTATGCACTAAGGGACAAACAAGGCAAAATAACTACCAATATGGATAGGGTAGTTAAAATAGCGGAGGAGTTTTACAGAGATCTGTCCAGTAGCCAAGACAACCACGACCCTAATACTATAAGAACTAGCAGTAACCCAGTTGACACCCTACCAGTAATATTAGAAGAAGTCAGAAAAGCTTTGGAGAGCATGCAAAGAGGCAAAGCTGCTGGTGAGGATCAGGTAACATCAGATCTGCTGAAAGATG